AAGAATTACAACAGGGAACCAGAGAGGTTAATCTGTAAATGACAACAGCATCAGAACAATAATAGAGGGAATAAACGGTGTAGGTATAGAACCTTCTAATGGAGAGGGAGGCAAGGCGATACCAAGTAATAATAGACTGGTTCAAATCTAGGAAGATAAGGGCAAATTTCAAGGTAACCAAAGAGAAAGTTAACCAACTTACTCATCAAAATAAAGAAGAAAAACATAAAGTCTCGGTAAAAACAAAACCTACAAAAACAAAAGAAATGAAAAAAAAAAATCCACATACAAAAGGAACTCAGCACAGGAGAGTAAGAGGAACAAAGAAAATGTCAGCACCACAAAAAAAAGCACTACAAAATGCAATCCCACTCGTAGGAATATATCCTAGAGAAATAAGAGCTGTCACACTAATAGACATATACACACCCATATTCATTGCAGCACTGTTCACGATAGCAAAAAGATGGAAACAACCTAGATGCCCATCAACAGATGAATGGATAAACAAACTATGGACCATACACACAACGGAGTATTATACAAAGATAAAGAACAATGATGAACCTGTGAAGCATGTCATAACGTGGATGAAACTGGAGGACATTATGCTGAGTGAAATAAGTCAATCACAAAAGGACAAATATTGTAAGAGGCCTCTACTGTATAACTCATGTAAAAGTTCACACACAAAAAGGAACAATCTTTGTTGGTTACAAGGGATGGGAGGGGTGGGGGGGGGAACTAAATAGATAAGTGGTAGCTTTGGTGAAGGGTAAGACAGTACACATTACTGGGGAAGCCAGCATAACTTGCACAAGGAAAGGTCATGGAGGCTCCATAGACACTTCCAAACTCCCTGAGGGACTGAATTGCTGGGCTAAGGGGCTGTGGGGACCATGGTCTCAGGGAACATCTAGCTCAATTGGCAGAACACAGTTTATAAAGACAATGTTCTACATTCTACCTAGGTGAGTAGCGTCTGGGGTCTTAAAGGCCTGTGAGCAGCCATCTAAGATACTCCACTG